CCCCAAAACCCCAAAACCCCAAAACCCCAAAACCCCAAAACCCCAAAACCCCATTATTATTAAATTCACTTGAATTATTAATTATTTATCAATAATATGATTTGAACCCAAAATGGATTCATCCAATCCGGATTTCATAAAAATCTAGACAAAAAAGAAGACATCGAAGATATTGACATTTTCTGTGTGACCAAGGAGAGTCGGACTGAGGACTCCCACTCAGTTAATAATAACGAGCTCGTTTTCACGATAAAATGAGATAATTCTCAGAAAAAGGCCCGAATGGAGACTCAACAAAAGAAAGAGAGTAAAGGACCAGGCAGGCCTATCAAACAGCCCAAGAAATCTAAGAGAGGCCGTAAGAAGAAGTCTGAACTTCTTAAAGAGAGATCTGCCAAGGGTGAACAACCCAAGCCTGTTCAAATTTCTCGTGAGGAAAAGAAGGCTCGATATTATGAGGAAATGTTCAGGCGCCAAGAGGAGCGGGAAAAGAAGAAGAATAAACGTAAGGAAAACAAGTTACAGAAGCAGACCTTCACTGTTGACGATACTTTCAATAAGAAGTCTAAAGCTTTAACAAATGAGGACATTAACCTAGACTCTATACACAGTAAATCCCAACTGTCGAACACCGTTAACAAGAAGGAACTGGATAATATAAAAATTGAACTTGTTCATGATCCGCTGGATTTCTGAACTCCAGGGTGATATGAGTGGCTTGAAAACTCTTTGCACGAAAATTTCGATAAAGGGTCATATAAAAATGGAGGTGAAATTAAAGAAGCCTACCATTCAAATTTAGATATTTGAAAAATAGAAAATAAGAAAAATATTTCAAATTCAAATTTTGATGAAACGATGATAGATTCTGAACTTACAGCTCCTAAAAATAGTGCTAGCTCCTGAAGTTTTAGTTCGAAAGATATTTCATTTAATAACCCTATTTTGTCCCAAGCAGACCTAAGAGAAATATTCTGAAATCAAATTTTGGAAGCCACAAAATATCTTCAAACTTCAAAAATATCAAAAATCCAAAAACCAAAGAGTCCAGTATCTTCAGCTGCTTCCTCCAAGAAAACTCAGATCACACTCACATCACTTACAGCCCCTGTTCAGACCTTCAAGAAGATTTTTAAAATAACAAATAAAAATCGTAAGGGTAGGTTGATAAAAACAGGTCCAAAACCGCTCAAAAACATTTTGAACACACAGACGGAGGCTTCCCAGCCCCAACAACGATCAGGAGGGTTACGTTCTCTTCACCAGAGGTTGAGGGGAGTATAACTATATTCTGAGGATTATTTCCTACTACTTGTTCGATAAAGGACTTATAACAAATAGTTTTTATTTCCAAAGCTAATCTCAAAATCGGAATAGTTTTATTCATTTCAACCTCTCGTAGAGAAATCGGGGTTTTGGGGTTTTGGGGTTTTGGGGTTTTGGGG